GACTTCCTCCTTGTCTGCATGTGCGGGGAAAGGGGAATGGGAAGAGCTTATTGAGCAACTGGAATTCCAGGATTTTTAAGCATGATTCAGACTGAGAAAGCAAGAAGGCAGCACACTATTTATTAAATAATAATAATAAGTCTCATTCCAACAGTGCCGGGAAAATGCTAATTCAGGTACCAAAGGATAGCAAAAGGATTCAGTACCAAAAGGACAGTTCACCGTCTGTTGACTCTTGTCTTGCCCTTTCCTTGAATTTAAAAATAAATCTTCTCTCTTGCTTCTTTTTACTTCTCTTTTCTCTTTTTTTTTATCTTATTGCACTTATGTCTATTATCTCAAATCATTATGTCAATGTGGCCAGTATCAACTTAGACATGCGGATCTCTTCACTTCAGATAATTCTGATGAATAATAAGCAAATGGAGATTGGAGGCAAATGTCATTTCTGAAGAAATTCTGGGGTACATTAAAAAAAGCCCAAATACACACATAAAATAAAACAAAGCAAAAGATTCCAAAAAACGACTTAAGCCCCTTCTACTCACACTGCATTGGTGAGAATGCTCACCATCCTCCTCAGCTGTGGGTGTGAGCAAGAGGAAGGAAGAAAAGGAAGAAGGCAGGGGACATCTGTGTTTGTGTCTCCCTAGGTGTTAGCTGTGGGTTTGTGACTCATTGCTTCAATTAACATTGTATTCCCATGTTTGTGCCAAGTGTTATCTTAACAGGCAACCCAATCTGAATTACTGTCTTTTGAAGAAAAAAAAAGTTCATTCAGAGAAATCATCTCTGATACTTGGTTTGTTTTTTTGTGAAGAAGAGGTGCTAATTAAGCCATGGCTTTTAGCAGAACGAACAGTTCCTTCCTCTCTGACATTTCATCCGGAGTGAAGGTGCACATCTAGCATCGAGCCCAGCCTCGGGATGTGCTTTATTTAGAGTTCAGGATGAGCCTGGCCTCTGGTGATTGGTCATTATCTCCCCAGCCACGCAGGAGAATAAAGTTAGTGACTCTTGGAGGATATAATATTTAATCTTTGGATTATCATTCTGATTCATGTACACCATTTAAGGATGATGGGGTGTGAGAGCCTGACTGCACAGTCAGATGATGGATTGTCTCATCTGCTCAAGGACACAGCAGAAGTAATTCTCTTAATGGTCTGATTCAGTCTGTTACATAGGTGCCTTGTGTCTGCCTTACATCTGTTTTCCATGTATCAGTAAAAAGAGAAGTCCATTACACCAAGCCAAGGCAGATGGACAATTAATTTCAAATTGAAACTCAATATGGGACAATGGCTGGGCAATGGGGCTTGAGGCTAACTAATACCAATGCAAATTATGAGGAAAATCATTAAATGGGAGAAAAGATCACTGTATTGAATTCTAGTTGGTCCTTATTAATAATGTAGAAGAAGATAGAAAAGAGCTTTCACATTGGGATATCTCTTCTTAATCCTTCTGTATAGCGTGTGGATCAAGAAATCCTATTGATTTTACATTTGAGATTCCTCTGGAAAGCATGCTATTAACAGTGCTTACAATCTTATCTGGGGTGACATCAGGGAAGATGACAGAACAAAGAGTACTAGGAATTGGTCCCTACACCTAGAAGACAGCTGTTCTGGTAGACACTGAAGTAACTATTATGGAAATCTGGAGTCTGTCTGAGTGTCGGCAGCTTCCCGGGGAAGGCTTGCCTAGTAAATTGCCATTTATTACGGTCAGCGTGGTAGCAGTTACCCACGCTCCAACCTCAGCCTCGAAGCAGGCAGCCATGCCATTTCTGGTGTGGCCTGCAGGAGCCAGGGTGGGTAATAAGCACCCTGCCTGCCAAATATCGAGCTTCTGTATTCTAAGTGCTGACTGCTGCTTTTGACCACGCAGGTTCAGGCAGAGGCTGAGCACCACTGCCCCAACCTCACTGGCTGAAGTGCCCCTGGGGGATTTAAAGGAACAGCACCTGTTTTTCTTCTTTTGTCTCTTTTCCTCCTTTAGGAAGTCAGACATTTAAGGACTCGGCTATTTAAAAGCACCGAAAACAAGAGAGTATTTAAAAGCCACTATGCATGCCTTTGGAAGGACACAGAATCAGAAAAGACCTGAAAATATCTCAAGCCTTCACCCCAGGCTAACTCCAGCACAGAGACACTAATCAAAAAGACAGTAAACCATAGAGGTGGAGGAGAAGCTGATTTCTAGAGTTAACATATCATAAGATTCAAATGTCCAGTTTTCAGTTAAAACACACACACACACACACACACACACACACACAAAGCATACAAAGGAACAGGAATACATGGCCCATGCAAAGGAACAAATAAAGGAAGACATGGGCAAAGACAGAAATATGACACTCCGGGCTCCTCTTGAACATTTTTTGCCCCATTCCTAGAATCAGCCATTTCTCAAGGATCCTCGATACTTTTAACCAGGGAATAATGTTTGAAAAAGTTCCTAGTTCTCACGTGCTACTTGCTGCTGCGTTGATTTTTTTTTAGGTCCACTCAGCTGGCAGAGCAAAAACTTAATGTGTTTATTAAACTAACTTGTGCATGCACCTATAACTATCTGAGTCTATAATAAGCCAAACATGAGTTCATACACATGCTTCCAATTCTCATCTGTGAAAAGTTCATAAACAGAACCCTAAACTAGGCAGTCAGGAGACCAGAATGGGGAGCTCTCACACCCTGCAAAGAGAGCTGAGCCCAACAGGAAGAAGAAAGACTCCTCTCCTTTCTTGGCAATAACTCAGCAAATGGAAAGCCACATACTCTGCGTTTACTATAGCCCTCCCACCTCCCTTTCCCCTCTTTAAAAGAGTTCTCCTTCCTTTGCCCTGTGGGGGTTCACACATGACACGCCATGGTTGCAGACCCTGAATTATAACTCTTTGCTGATTCCGGATAAACCCATCTTTGCTGGCGGACTACCTGACAGTCTGTTTCAGGTCAACATTTTGCTGGCTCATACGGGGATCAGAGACCACTGAAGGCTCTGAGGCTGGGGAGCAAACAGATGCAGAACCCACAATTGAGACCATTGCCACCCACTGCTTTTCTCCTTGACCCTGGAGTTTGAAGGTCTGTCTTTCTCCTGGATGCAAGCTCACGCCCTCTTTACCTTTGAAGTTCTTTTGGCTTTATTCAGGATCTATTTAAAAGTTTTGTCTTTCTGCTTAAGGCCTTGCTCTATATATGAGCACTCGCTTGGCACTTAGGTCTGATAAGATCAGACTGTTTCATTGGAACTGGCTAGCCTTTGACTTATTCCCTTCAGAACAGGGCATGCTCCTCCTGAGCTGGCTAACCTTTGACCCATTCGTTTGCAAGGGCTGCCTTCTGGAGACTGGCTAAAAAAAAAGGGCTTTGGCCTGTCTCCTCTAGGACCAAACTGTCTCCCTAAGATGGACTAGAACTGACTTGCAAACTGCTTAAATTGAACTATTTGCAATTGTATGCTATTTAGATTGTTTGAAATTATTCTTTACTCTAGAGGCAAAACCTCTAGGAAATGGGATCCCAGTTTTCTAAGTATTTTGAGGGACCTCCTCTGCCTACAGGGACTCCAGCCAACTTTACTGTTTAGAAACTATGGTCCTTGCTTATGTGTATTTCTAACTAAATGGACAGATCTGATCCAAAGCAACTTAGAATATCAACGGCCATTACAGGGAACTTGTGAAATGCCAAACTTAATTTCCTTAAAATTGAACTACAAAAGCTCAACAATCTCCAGTAGACTCATCTTAGCTTTGATTCTCTGTATTTGTCCCTCCAGATTTCACGTGCCCTGTGATCTCAGTTTTCCAATGATTCCACAAAAAGCCATTGATACCCAGTTTGCTCAGCTTTTTTTTGAGTTGTAAAGGCAGGAATAACAACTTCCACGCCCTTTATATGTTGTAGATAAAACCAGAAGAATAGTTTTATTTTTAAGAAGCCATTTCAGGTCAAACTCAATGTATAATGGAGATATTGCTAACACTGGTAATCATCAAGAAATGCAAATCAGAACCACAATGAGATACCACCTCACACCTGGCAGAATGACTATCATCAAAAACAACACAGATAACAAAGGTTGGAGAGGGTGCGGAGGAGAGGGACCCCTCATACATTGTTGGTGGAAATGTAAATTGGTGACGCCACTGTGGAAAATAGTATGGAGGCTTCTTCCAAAACTAAAAATAGAACTACCATATGACCCAGCAATGCCACTCCTGGGTATAAACTCTCAAAAACCAAAAACACTAATTGAAAAAGATACACGCACCCCAATGTTCATAGCAGCATTATTTACAATTGCCAAGATACAGAGGCAACCTAAGCGTCTGTTGACAGATGAATGGATAAAAAT